TGATCCAATTTATAGTTACACAAAATATTTTATTTTTTAAAGGGCGGGTGGGAAGACAATTAGACTCCATCAACTGCTCAGCCCAGTCTGAAATCCCCACCCAACAACCAAATTCAAATCCCTAGTAACCCCGGCTACAATGTATCTCTGATGGGGGGACGTCCCTAACCTCCATTTTGAGCTGCAGTCATGTACCCCCTTCCCTATTTTATCCAGGGGGTTTTCTTTAACAAATAGGTGTACAGATTAACCTAATACCCACCTAATGTATGCATTTATACATGTTCCCTTACAAATTAACAATTTTAATTGGGGTTTACTACAGAGGGGATTGCCCATGTTTAGTGCATGGGGTGTAGAATGTAGCCTAAAAATGATAAAAGGGTGTTATTAAAAATTCCTTCTACAGTAACCAGATAGCTATGGACCTTCCTATTCTCTTTCTTTCTCTAAATGTTAACATTCATTATTAGCACATAATGAGAATCTACCTTTGACAAGCATTATTATTTAATCTTCGAATTCTCCCATGAAGCTGTGTTACTCTGCCTCTACCTGTTCATCCTGTACAAACTGGCTTTAAAAGGACCCTGCAGCGTGCTCACATGCTGAAATGTTCCCATGATACCCGGAAGCAATAATTGAAGCCGACATGCACACCTTCCAGAAACGTGACCTACCTGCACATGTCTGAGTGAGCAGTCAGTGGAAGTTAGATCTCAAAGTGCTCACATTTTCCAAATTGCTGAGCAGTAACGGCTTCATTTTAAGCTCCAGTTAACTTGACACACTATAGCAAAATGTACATACACTATTTATTTAAAAGGCAGACAGATCAGTTAATCTTTATTTTTATTTTTTTTTATCTATAACGCACTTAAATATTCCAGAGTGCTATACAAAGAGTGATCAAAAATATGCAAGCCAAAGATGTCTAGTCCATCCCTGGGACCGACTGCAGAAATGTCCCAATCTCCACAACACCCAACTAGGACAACATAATGGAATTTCAATCATATACAAGATTCTGTTAATTATGTAGCCCTGGTACACTCTCTGACCCAATTCATCTGATTGAAATACTTTACACACAGCCTTCTACCTCTTACTCTCTAGTTGTTTTCAGAATGGTAATCTCTCCAATAGTTTAATTAATATCCTCTAATCATTTATTTTCTGCTTAGGGTACAAAAATATTTCTGGTTTCCCCATTCCATCTCCTCCATCAGCTTGGGGATTATGAGTGGGTTCCAGCTATGAACTCATGGGTTGTCCCTAGGCTTCTATCTCCCAGCATTTCTATTTATTTTACCCTGACAATTGAGTGATGTGTCATGTCATAAGCAAAGCATCGTCTTTCATTTATATAAATTATTTGCTGTTATGTGCCAATCAAGCCAGACCTACAACATGAGAGCTTAGCACACTTTATTTGTTTATAGGCGGCACCATTTTTATTGTGGCCATAATGTTTCTACTATTTGGACTTGCTAGCCTGCTTTTTTGCTAGCCGTACCATGTATGAGGGCGAGGTCTGGAATAATAAAAAATTCCAGGGCTATTTATTCTTCACATTCTGGCTCTGCTCATTTCCCAAGCAAAGGGATGACAATATACAGTAAGCACAGGGAAACCAAAGTGAAAAATCTATGTAGATGATACCTAAACCTAGACGGTATCACCTATATGTAGGGTATTCAGCAGATTGAATATATACATAGCACGACAGGTGCCCAATAGTAAAATCAGACAAACAAACAAAAAAGCAACTAGACAGTGATTGTATACAGAACACCCCAGGTGCAATACACAAAAATACTTTCCCCTTCAGTAAATGATCAGTAGCAATTCACATCTATAAAATTAAAACAAAAGGAAAAATAATCAGTGTATTTTTTTCTGAGGCGATGTGAGGCGAGGTGATGATAATTTTGTGGCTTTTAGTTACTCTACCACGCTTTCTGGCTTTTAATATTAGTGCCCCTGAATATTTTTATTGTTTGTTTAATGCTTTAATGGCATATACTTCTCATACAATAAATTTGTAAAAGATATACACCAGAGTTGATTCTTGTTTTTTGGAGACACATTCCAGGCTTTATCCTGCCAATGGCCATAGATGGAGATACTCTGGTGCTTGTCATACAGAGCCTGGCCATGGCTCTGGAGCCTATAGGTGGTTCCTAAATAGGTTTTTCAACTTCTACTGTCCTTATTTGTATATGATTTTTTCTTAATTATGTTTTCATTTTACAAATGTGAAATGTAATGATCAATTACTCAAGGGGGAAGTTTTGTATTGCTTATGAGGGATATCATCCTAGAATGCCTTTAATGTGTTCTTCAACCGTGGTACAAGTTGTTGCCCTGTTGAGTGTGGAGCAATGAAGCAATAACATGTGAATGGTGAGTTCCTCTGTTATTGTGTGCACTTGCCCAGTTATCTCACCCTCTACATGCAGTTAGCATCACGTTATAGGCCTAGAATAGATGTAAGAGACCGATGGAGCAAACTTTATTTCGATGGAGATGAGAACTACGAGTTATGAGAGACAAAGATCTAAAGACATCTGTGATTAATGAACTCTTGAATAAAGCGGATGATAACGATGATGAGGATGAAGACATACATAAGAAGAAAGTTCTCGTTAGAGAATTTTTACCTTTTAGCTGACCACAGCTAGGCTAATTGTTAGTCTAGGACCTAAAGGATTTTACCTTGACATGGCAGGTAAGCTTAAATTTAAATGGCTATTGGAGTGATACTAAAAAATCTTCCAGTTATTTAAATGTGCATAGGGATTTTGTACTGTGCCCAAATCACGTTTTTTAAAATTTTTATTATACGTAAAAATGAGGACGTTTATCATGAATTAATTCAATTCATAGATGATACAAGTCTGTTTTTAATGATGAGGGAGGCAGCTGATGATGGAAGAAAAACACTTTAAATATTGAGAGATTATTATGCAGGAAAGCCAGGAATAGTCAGTTTATATACTGAATTAATGTCCCTTCAGAAAAGCATAAATAAAAGTATGATGGACTGTGTTATACATTTAGAGACAGCCATTACAGCATTAAGAAATACTGGAGAAATATTAAGTGACGGATTCCTAATTGTGAAGATTCTGAACGGTATGCCTGGATCATTTAAGCCATTTTCTGTATTTAAGACACAGAGATATGTTTTGAAGATACTGAGAAGTATTGTGCTGGTTCTAATGATAGAGTGTTAAAAGTGAGCAATGTGAATCCTGGATTCAAAATGAATTTAAACTGCACTAAATGTGCTACTCAGTACCCAACGGGTTTTCTTAAACACGTTTACACCCATGTGAGGTGGTTCTAGGGGTGATGAGTACCTTGAGCAAATGGTGCAATTATTCCTCCTCTAGCAGAGGTCAGAGCATTGCATATGGTTTTTCTAAAACCATATGTAAAGCTAGTGCCTCTCTTGTCTGAAAAAAATAGATATATCATTTTTAATTGCTTGCCTTTTAAATTTTTTTTTTTTTTGCAGTGCTTATGAAGGTAACATACAGGCATGGGGTACCCCAAAGGCAATCTGCATGCACATTTCGAGACATTGGTTACAGAGTATTGAGAGCATTGGGGTATGTTAGTACAGTGCACTAATTTTATATTTAGGTATATGCTTGAACATTTCAGATCGTAACAGTTTATATGGCACTTTTGTTATATTAGCGTACCGTGCTAATCTTGTCTAGATTAGCGTACCGTGCTAATCTAGACATGCTTAGAGCAGTTCTAGTTGCGCTGATTATATGAAATGTGCTAGTCGTTTAAATGTATGCCTCTGTAGCGTAGTAAAAATTATTAAACAACGAGATAAACAAACAGATAAACAAACAGAAACGTGAATGCAGCTAGACAATTTGCGTGTGGCATGTTATTTGCTGGCATGAACAGTTCTGCTGTGGAGGTTAGACTACATGCTATGTATGATATGAGGGTGATTACTGCTGGGCATTTAGGTAAACTATATAGAGTATTAGACCATTTTAACGGTAATACATTGCGGGTTAAACTATGAGTCAGCTAGTATGTATTTGCTAGTCATTTAAATTAAGCTATAAACAGGCTTCAACAGTGATATCCTTAAGTTTACATATCTATGCGTAGACACTCTATGCTGTAAGTGGTTAGGCTAGTAGGCATGGAAAACATAGGCTCTCAACATACTATAGGTACATAAACATTCCGAGTGCTGGCTAGCATCGCCCATCCACAGAGTTGGGTTGCGGTAGGGTCACCCTGCGTCGGTAATATATGCAAACTCAAAAAATGAAATAACATAAGGTAACATTAGTTCAGACATATCCGAGGGGTGCATACTAGGTAAGACCTGGTCGACGGTGTCTGCAGGAGAAAATCCCGGCATGCAAGTATGTATTGCTCGCGTGTCAGTCTTCCGACCTGCCCGCGCCCGGCGGTGAAGGGCTGGTGCATCCCCAGTGTGGCCCGTTCAGCCGATACCCCGCTTGTGCAGGGGTGTTGTAGTTGATGAAGGTGTCTGGCTGGAGGCCGCTATGGTCGACTTCCTGCAGGGTAGTACAGTCCCTTGAGTAAGTAATCTCTGGGGTGCTGTGGGTGTATTGTGGGGGCTCCTTGGTCGGTCCCGTCCCGACCGGCTGTTATGGTGGGCTGGACATGCTCGGAGCCTCCAGCCCGGGTTGTAGCGGAGAGCACTTCCCTGTGTCCTCGGGCCCCTCTCCCATACGTGGGGGGGCCGTGGGCCCTCCGGAGCTTCACTCTCCTGATGCCCCTTTGGGTGTGTGGACGGTGGGTCGGATTTTGTTCCGGTATGCTCCCCTGCCCAGAAGGAGATTTTTGAATTTCAATGAAAAAGTCATGATTTAATCTATCCACTTGCAAATAATTATGTAGATACAAAGAATAATAGGAATTTCTATCTTTTAAGCGCAACTATTTTATGTAAAAAAATTAGTTTTTATATTTAATTTCTGACTTATTGACTAGGTTTTTAATCGCTGTCGGGCTTTATGGAGCGAACAGTAGTGTTTGCTTTGCTGTGCCCGCTGTGCGTCGGCCATTTTGTGCCCTCCTCGTGGTCGCAGTGAGGGGTGAGTTTCACGACTGATCTCAGCGTGAATGCGTAGGCGCCGTGCCAGCCTGCGCCAGAATGCTGCAAAAATTTTGTCTAGCCGTGCTGTGTAGTCAGCTTGGTTAGTGAGGCTTGTGTTTGGCTCCTTTGTGCTCTCTCTGTGTTGCTTGGGCGCCATCTTCGCCTCAGTCCCAGGGGCATTCCGGAGCCGTTGCGTGTCAGGCTGTAGTGCGGGGTTGGTCGCCCCCAGCGAGGACCGGGATATCCCCCACCGGTCCGGGGGGGGGGTTGCAGGGCCATGTCGATTGTTTGCTTGCGAGCGTGTCCCGTGGCGGGGGATCAGCCGCCTCCCCCAAGCCGCAGGCCCCGCTCCGAAGTAGGCCTCGTGGCCGGTCCATTTATGTTTATGTGGTTTCGATGCGGGTCAGGTATCATTGTGTGCCCCGTGTGGTTCTGTTTCATTCTCTGGACTCCGTTTGCTGCTAGCATCAGTAGTTCGTGCAGGATTGGCGTTTTTGTGCCCTCTATTGCAGGAGCCCTCAGAGAGCACGACCGGCCATCTTGGCTGTCAGGCCCCGCCCCCGCCTTTTAAAATTTAGACCACTATCTTTCATTATAGATGGTGCCAGAATAGTGAGCAGAATATCTCACTATACATTGGCATGGAAAGGTATTAGCCTATCCTTGCAAGCACATTGTCTTGGCGTTATACTTGTCTATGGCCTCACCTTTGAGCCCCACATCCAGTCTGTCACCAAATCCTGTTCATTCCACATTAAAAACATTACCCGCATCCGCCCCTTTCCTAAGAAAGATACTACTAAGGAGCTTGTCCATGCTCTAGTAATCTCTCGCATGGACTGTTGTAATGCTCTCCTAATTGGTCTTCCCAGAAGCTGCATTGCTCCACTACAGTCTGTAATGAATGCTGTCGCCAGACTGATTTTCCTCTCCAGTCGCTGCTCTCACTTCTCTTCCCTCTGTCAGTCCTTACATTGGCTTCCTGTATCCTATAAGAGTCAATACAAAGTACTAATCCATACCTATAAAGCACTGAACGATTCTAGCCCCTCTTATATCTCTTCACTGATCCTTAAGTATGCTCCTTTTTGGTCTCTCTGCTCTGTCCATGACCTTCTCCTGGCCGCTGCTTGCACCCAAACTGCCAACTCACGCTTCCAGGACTTCTCACCAGCAGCTCCCTTCCTTTGGAATAGACTGCCTACCACCATCAGACAATTGTTTAAAAAGTGCCTTAAAACCCATCTCTTCAGGAAAGCTTATAGCCTCCCAGAGTAACCTCTACCTCACATACCTGTCCCTTGCTCTCTCCTAAAGGGCAGCACTCTACTCTCTCCTCCTGCTTGACTCCCACCTTACTTGATTGCTATCTCCTGTCCTACTGTGTTTTATACCTCACCTCCTACAGACTGTACGCTCTTCATCATATTGTTCCTGTAAGTTTTTGTAATTGTCTCATTTATTGTTAAATCTCTCCCTCCTATAATATTGTAAAGTGCTAAAGTTCTGTTCCAAAAAGTGGGGCAAAAATTTAAAATTGGAGGAGTCACCAGTGGAATGTACCTGCTGGATTGTCAAACTTTCAGTCATGTAGACCACTTTGATAAATCTCAGCTAATGAATACACAAATATATATAAAATCCCTTCACACCACACATATCAACTATGTTACATTTTACATTGCACACCTATCCAACAACTTATACGTATTGGGGACCTAAATTTTAATAGTTTATGCATAATACCTAAACTCATTTAAATTAAACCAATTATCTGATACCTAGGTTTTGAAAAAACCCAACAACCCCCTACTTTGGAGCAATGGGTAAATAAAGTAGAAGATACTGAATCTATGGAGGAGTTATATTGGAGGGCTGATGGTCAGGTATGTAAATATAGGAAAGCATGGCAACCATGGTTAAATTATTGGCTTTCATATAGATCTATTGTTTTATAAAGACGTTTTTCTTACTTTACAGATGCATAATTTGAATTATGTTATGTGTATCTGCAAATAACACAAATGGTAATTATACTAACAGAATAAATTCCTTGATTAGTTAGAGCTTACTGGTGTTTTAATTACTGTTAATCACGACCCTAGAGTTGTGCTTCATTGTTCTCTTCTCTCTAATCTAATCTCAGTAGCGACCAAACTACCTATTTACCATAATTGGTGTTCCTTTTTTTTCTGTTTTTACTAATTATGAAGAGATTTAATGTTAAAATACTTAAACTCTCAGGGGTGGAGCCTGACCGCCAAGCCAGCAGGACGCACTGAAGCTGAGCTCCGGGACCAAAAGCCAAATTAAACAAAGTTTACCTACAAAATCAGGACTTTCTTGGATTGAGCGTTGTGGGGATATTTATGGGATAATAATAGTAACAGTGAGAATTGCCCACTAATTCAATTCTCAGATCCCAAAGAACGTTTATCGTGTTAAGTGGAATGTATTTCATATAATTGATATCACAATGTATAAAAATAGATTTTATTTATGATAACCAATAATTAACAAATAATATTATGTAACATGCATAACAATAATCAATGAATATCCAGTACAAAATTATATGCAATACAAAGAAATGGGTATTACGTTACAATGGCTAAATAGCATTTCCTGTCAAGAATTATTTATGACTATCTTTAACACAGGCTGAAAGTGAAACTTTTCACAGCGAAGAACAGAATTCCTCAGAGTGCAGCGTAAGGTCGTAAAGTTTAGCAGACAGTTAGAATAACCCTTTCAATGCTGGCTAGATCTCCTAGGTAGTTAAGATCTACTCTTATGTAATTTTTAAATAAAATAACATTTAACCCAGTTCATTAGTCATTTTCTTAAATCATCCAATAAGAGAATTTACCATTATATAAGCAGATTTTTAATTTGTCTAAAAGATATCTATCTTAATTTAGAGCAAATCAATACACCTGGATAAAAACAGCGGTATGCTAACACGTGATAATATCACATCAATATATAATTATTCTTAATTCCACCTGCAGAATGGAATGTTTATAACTATATATTCTTAGTTAACTAAGATTTCTTAATATGGAAATCTGACCGTGCTTTATCCAGTCATATATAATGCTATTAATACATTTTAATTAATTTAATTTAATTAAATGAAACCAGTATAATTACCAGTTGAGTAGATATTTCATCCGATTGGTAGTCTCTCTGCATGGAGGTGTTGGTTAGAAAGTCAGTAAATTCTAAGTGTTAGAGTTTTAGGAGTAGAGTGTTAGTCTCAGATGTTATCTGAGTTGGAATCCCCAAACTTCCAATTCCTCTCTCCTCTCCTTTGCATCTCTTGCATCTCCCTCCTTCGCTCGTATCCCTCTATCTTCCCTTTGTCTTAACTTTTAAAGGGCCAGACTCTCTGTACGTCATCAGTTGATAACCCAATAGAAGCACTAGAGGTGTGGTTATCTTCCAGATCGCAAATTAGTTATTTGGTCTGTAGAGGGCAGTCTTGTCCCACTAAACATACCTATCCAGGAAAGAGTTAACTTTTCCTGGTGGCTATTTTGACGTCATTTTGGCCTATCTAGATAGTGGCTATAACTTACGTATCCTTCAAAGATCAAAGGGGTTCTTAAATTTTGTCCAGACTATGTGTCTGCAAATCTGCTATAATTTCTGATATGGCAGATCATGAACTAAGTTTACCCTTTTCCATACAATGGTACCTTATATGTATAGACAGTTAAATATTAAATTATTTAATCTTCTCTGTCACAATTGTCTGGGTTTAGATTTGATTATATTCTTCTTATCACTTGTTTATACTATGCTATACATTCCTTAGCTCTGGCAAAGAGGCCAGTCTTACAGAAAGAAATCTAGTGTCTTCTTTGTTAACTTGAAATAACAAAATGGAGTCTGGTCTGTTCAGAGTGACTCAGAATATACACTTTTAGTTTCTATCATAGCACAAAATGTCTGCCGATATAAATACTCTGACATAACCCCCCTTTAGTGCATTTCATAGCCAAAATTAATTTAGCTTATGAATAAGCACTATAGAAGTTACTAGACATATTGTGCAATCACATCATTTCTAACATAGGCCCGTGCGTGGAATGAACATTTTTGTATATATTTGTACCTGTAAGAGTTTTGAACTTTACACTTAGTACAATCAACCATAATACCATTATTACATAGTACATTATTTTCATTTGAAAAATGTCTTTGGGAGTTACATATGGTATGGCCAATAAAAAGCAAATCTCCATACGTTCCGGATCAATTAAGAGAGGTATAGCGCTCCCCATCTCGAAGGCCAGATTTAATTGCATAGGCTCAATTGTCTCTCCATCCACATTGGCAAGCATCGCATGAACAATATCCTTGGATACAAAATACAGAGGTATGCGTCCCCCTGCCAATTCGATCATTCCAGTTTGCACTTCGTCAAGAAAAGCAAGTGTGTGGAACAATATTGGGTCATGCAGAAATAAAAGTTCACGCTTGAATAAGTCATGACTTTGGTGCAACTCAGTGGATTTGGCAATTAACTCTGAATGCAAATTTGTTGTAACAACTGTGTCTTCCACAATAGTTAACACGTCTTGGAGAAGTGTTCTTTGCTGTTGTATCACCTGATGAATATCGTTAATGTGTTGCTTTAGCGCATAGATTTCCATATCCAGCTTTTGGACAGTAATAGAGTTGGCTGCAGACATTCCAGTTGCGACAACTGCACCGACAGTGGCACAAACTAATGCAACAATTATAGCGGTGAGGAACCTTTTGGGTCGGTTGCTCATCGGAATAGAACTGGATACAAATGGTTTCCGGGCTTGCTCCAAGATGTTTCGCACACGGTCCTGTGCTCTTTGGAGGTGCATCTGGTACCAAGTCTGTAACTCAGGAAGCTGCATCGATGAAATGTTGTATGCCTTCTCGATGGAAATCTTGGGGTCCAAGCTGACGAACACACGTCTGGTCAGGATCCTCTTCTCTGTTAAGATGAACCCTGGTGTCTCTTGAATCAGGATGCCGGAGGATGGTCCCATCTCTGCGATCGGGTCGGTCCGTAGCTCTTGGCACAGGAGCAGTATGATCCAGAAACACGCCACATCCTTCTTGGACATCCTTCGACAGTCACGGATCAGGAACTCGTTTCAGACTTATCTACTA